AAGATACTCTGGATACAGTAATAAAAACAGAAATCCTGTAGTTGTACTGAATGTCAGGGGGTCCTTTTTGTTTGTTGTTGTTGTTAAGATGAGACATGCTATGACTATTTAAACATCCTACAAAACCATTAGGAAACCTAGCCCCTACTGTCTTATCCTGAATCATTTAAGAAGAACCCAGGGGGCAAAAGATTCTGCCTATGTGAAACAGCATTACTGCTACTGGGGAGTAAAGTTGAGAGAATCGTGCCAAGGATTTATTTGCTTGCAGTAGGATAGTTGTTTACCTTTAAACTAAAAACATCATTATCTTGGCAAAGCCTATCTAAGTAACATATTAAAGGAGAACAACTCAGAACAAGGCAGCCTTTGCAAATGAGCATTTTAAAGGAAGCTACAAGGTTGTGGTTTTGAACTGGCCTTGAACATCAATCCTTTCTCTAGCCTCAGACTTAGGAAGATACCACCACCTGCCTCAACCTTTTGTTGTGGGGAAGAAATGTGTTACAATATGTGGAAATGCTATGTACAGTAAACTATTTCAACACGTTAATTGCTTAATTTAATGAATTTATAATTCAAAATTATTAGAAAATTTCCCTTGCAAAGGCCAGGATTTAAACAAATAATAAATAAGAAAGGTTGGAGAGATGGGTAAAAAAATCACTTGGCTGAGTCCAAATCACTTCTCATTTCATAGTTCCAAATGGATACCATTTTAAATGTGATACAAGTTCCATATTGTTCCCAATTTAATGTTCCCCACCCACCATATATCCAACTTAAAGCACAGAAATAAGGTCTCTTCAAGTGTACAGATGATTGATTAAAAAATGCATTTTTATTTGAAAAGTGTGCAGAAACAATCATTGAATACAGTTCTCAACCGTAGTATTCAAACACAGACACGAGATAATTGGATGCTATAATTACTGAAGCCACTAGAACTTTATTATAACAATAATGACCTAACGGTGTTTGTCAGGCACCACAGTCTATTCATCGGCATATAGAATTATAACTCCATGTTTTAAGTTTTAAGTGACATTCATAGCACTACACAAAACAGAGATCTGTGTAGAAGACACACAAAACAATCAAACATGCTTGACTGAACAATGAGGAAACATTACTTTAAGGTAAATTGTCGGGATATAGTGAAAAATGTCAGTGTTATGTCAGAACATTATCTACTTTTAACATATTAACTAAAGCAGGATAGATTACTTTTCTTAAATAATTTCAGATACCATCGGTATCTTTTACAAGGCTATGGACACAAAAGCCCTATTGTACAAGGAGGACATTGACCAAGTTATACTATACTATCTAGAATGTAATTGGTCTTCTTAAAAGAAATACAAGAGGACATACAAAATGATTGTTTTCAATAACTTGAGATATAGTAAACCTTTTCAATCAAATATGATGACCTCAATTTGACTGCCCATCTGTAGTTTAAATACGTCTGCTAAAATTAGTGTTTTGTCCCTGCTATGATGCTTCTTTTCACAACAAGTGGCTTAAATTATGACTGGTTTTTATTAGCGGTTCTTAGTTTGTGATAGCAGCGTCTGTTTATAAAATGGAACATAATTGACAAACCACTTTCTGATATATGCTGTCGTTTGAGCCCGATGTTCACCTGGTGAGGTACATAGGCTTTGTAACCCTCATATGCGCAGAAGTCACTAAAGTATTTAATGACATTCCCACAGTCCCCCAATTGTTATTTCTGGCCACTTTCTTTTCTACAACACTAGGCTTCTTCTCAGAGAGCATTTGAAAAAAATCATCTGGAGAATAGAAGGGTAAGAATAAGCAAACATTTTTACCTTACTAGGGATAGTATTTGTGCTAACAGAGGTAAGGACAGCAGTTGCTGGTTAAATAATGAATCTATTAGGTTAAGGACAGACATTCTGACTCCTACGGAATTTGTCAATGAGCCTTAAGAGCTAAGTCAGCTGAGGGATATTAGCCATGCCTTCCACAACCTGTAAGAAAGGAACCAAGAAACCAAATGTAAACCACTCAATTTAAAGATGACTCCTGTGTGTATGTGTGTGTTTATATATGTATATACATGTAATGGAGCCCTGGTGGCACAGTAGTTAAGAGCTTAGCTGCTAACCAAAAGGTCAGCAGTTTGAATCCACCAGCCCCTCTTGGAAACCCTATGGGGCAACTCTACTTAGTCCTATAGGGTCGTTATGAGTTGGAATTGACTCAACAGCAACAGATTTGGTTTTCGGTTTTATATATATATATATAGAGAGAGAGCAAAAGATGACACCATTTTAGATAGTCCCACTACTTGGTAATAAAGTTTTGTTTTAAAAGACCTTTGCACGTAGAAAGTTAGAAAATGTCTCAACCATAGTGTGTTGGTACAAAGAACTCCACAGAAAAACACCTTTGGTATGCTATTTCTTGAAATTTTAATCAAAATACAATTTATGAGAAAATTAGATTCATATATAGTAAACAAAATATTCCTATTTCCCAAATTTTGATGCCAATAATGAAATTTGATCTTTAAATATTTTATTGCTTAGTTTTAAGGTCAAAAGCTCTATTTGGTTAAAAACTTTTCATTACCAAATTTTTATTTCTTTTAGTTTTTTGAGGACATGCGTCTTCAGTATTGAAAAGCATGCTTACTAATTGAGTGTGTTTAAATTTTTGGTTAGTAGTATGGATTTTGAGAAATATAATCTGACAATACAATCTGCCAATGAGACTAGTGGCACTGAGGTGCCACCAATCGGTGGCATGACAGGACGCCAATGGGAACTGGAGGTATAATTTATTGTGGGCACCTTTCCAAAACAAACCCTTCAGCACTCCCTATCACACAGGAAAGCCATAATTATGCTTGCAAGTTTATCTCACAGAAATAAAGGGAAAAAAAGAAGCAAAAGTTTAGAAAACTAGCAAGTGTCACCTAATAGAATGCTCAATCTACACAACAATGAAGCTCCAACTCAGTTCTGCTGAGCTTCATGCATTTCAAACGGACCTACCTTGAATTCATTACAACCGGAATAACTCCTTGCCAATGAGGTCCAGAGGCACAAAAAGCGGCTGGCAAACCATTTAGTCAATAGTAACGAAAGGTAGATAGAAATGATGGGTAAATATTTGCTGTGGATCTAGTTACAAAACTCTGTTGATTCAAGGTTTCTGTTGAAAGCCTTGTCTTTCCCTACTGAAAAAATCAACCTTTTAAATATGACCTTCTCCATGCTATTTTAGAGGACTAGTTAGACAACTTTTAACTCTTATCTCTCTTTATAGGTCTTGCTCAACAATGTCATTGTTATTTGGTCTCCACACAAAAATTCTAGGGCAATAGATTTATAATATTTCCTAAATATCTAATAGTTATTTTTATCAGTTCTACTTATGAAGACAAATAGCTTCATAAATTTATAAAGCGTTGAGACAACATTCAGCTCAGAGAATGTTCTATATCCATTTTCCATGCTTAAGAGATAGCTCAGAACTCTCCCCAGAAATAAGCTTAATATTATCTTGGTTAAAGTTCAAGAAGAAAATATAGTTTATGCTGAATCTTTAGACAATCTCTTCAAATATAGACAGCATCTTGGCATATTTATAAATGATGCTTTCCTTAATATATTCAAATATACTAGACTTAACACTTTAAAGCTTGGTAGCACAGTGGTTAAGAGCTATGGCTGCTAACCAAAAGGTTGGCAGTTCAGATCCACCAGCTGCTCCTTGGAAACCCTATGCAGAAGTTCTTCTCTGTCCTATAGGGTCGCTATGAGTCGGAATCGACTCAATGGCTACTTGACGACAGTAGAGGGTGAAAGAAAACTTTTCTACAACTTTGACTAACATCTGCTCTCATATTTTCCTTTTAAAGAGTAATTAAGAATCTTAGGAAACCAGAGACCTAAAGAACCATTTTTTTTTTTGTAGCTCAAATTTTAGATTGTAACCCAAAATACTTTATGGATGAGTTTTTTTCCTCAAATGATTAGAGTAGTATGCAAGGAAGAAAGGATATGTCCTCCTTTTTAAGTGAACAGAGACAGAGAACAGTGAATTATCTTGTCCTATGGCACAGCATATTGATGCTCAGGAGCCCAGGTTTCATACTATACCAGTTGGTCACTGTATCTACTGCACAATATTGGCTCTCTTTCTAACTACTGCATCATTCCACCTCTGTTGGTGAGAATATATATGGGCTTCATCAAATTTGTTGATTCCCAGTGGACTTGATCTACCGTTTAAAAAATATTTTGGCTGTTACTGATTTTTGATGTAGTCATGTCATTCTCTATGGCCAAGCTTCTCTCTCTTATAAAGGAGATAGTGATGGGCTGATTAAAACTTTACCCTGGCTCATCTTACCTGTACAGGTTGGCAAAGAATAACAAACTGGAAGCATAACAAAGACATCCACTGATACACAGAACTACTCTTCTAGTCAAAAACAACAGATACAATATTTACTTTAGAAAATGCTGTTTTGTAAAATTTTTTTGCAGTGTGGTAGCTGATAATATGGAAATGATAGCAAAGTGGCTAGAGTGATGACTTGCAAGAATTTTACAGCTCCTGTGTGGGCACCCACATTTAGGATTTTCTGTGCCAAGTCACGACTTGTTACCATCATCAGACCAAGACAAACATTATGTTCTCTTGACTTTTGTTTTTTTAAAGAATTTCATTGTTAACATTAAAAGCTAACTAGCCCGAGATGAGAGGGCAGAGAGGGTTAGGAGCTGGTTGAATGGACATGGGAAATACAGGGATGGAAAGGAGGAGTGTGCTGTCACAGTATAGGGAGAGCAATTAGGGTCACATAACAATGTATGTATAAATTTTTGTATGAGAAACTAACTTGAATT